CATTACCAAGGAATTTGGGAAGCATGTTTATGTATTGCGGTCTAAGCTCAAAACTTATTCCATTTGTTTCGGGGAGCCTAATGCATGAGGGGATTGCATTCCTAATGGGATAGCACATATCATGAAGAACGGGTGGATTAGGATGCTCCATTTCTATGATTGGTTCAAAGCGAATTAATCGATGTGTATTATCCCTAATCCACTGTTGCATACACCAAAATATTTCTTTTTATTTTTTTTCTTAAATTAGTTTTTTTTTTGAGAAGATAAAGAAAAAGAAAAATCCTAACTGAAACAAATCAAAACAATCACTTTTCAATCAACTCTAATTCTAGGGTTTAGCCTAACTCAACTAGACCAGCTCCTAACCAAAAACTCCTACAGTGAAAAGATCAAAGTTTTACCCAGGTAGTTAGCCAGGTAAGGATAGTACTAGAGGGTGATCAAAGATCAATTAAGTACCTCTTTCCTTGCGGAGCGCTTTACGCAACCCCTAAACCTTGCCTTAGACACCAACTAATCTGAGAAAACTTAAACCGGTTCACTTAAGGATTTCTTGTTCCTTATTGAGCTCGAATCCTTAGGGGCCAACGTCTAATGAGTTTTATTAGGCTTGGGTGGTGTAGTGAGGAATTAGTGATTTTTGGGCTAAGGAAAGGGTGATGAAATCCCTCACCTTATCTTGATTATGGGGTTTTGCCCTTAAAAATATTTTTAAGTGTGTGTCAAATCAAGATGCTCAAATCACTTGGTGAATTCCTACACTATATGAAATGCAACCCTATGAATTAAAAGCAACTAAAAAGGATGGAAAAGAAAAATCTTTTTTTTTAATTAGGGTTAACAATCAAACAAATGAGAAGGGGGGATTTGTTTGAATTTATTATCTTGTTAGTAAATGTCAAAGTGAAGGGTGAATTTTATTATGGTCAACGGAAATAAAATCTTTTTTTTTAAGATCCTAATTGTCACTAATTGTGAGAAACTAACTAAAGGTGTGGAATTGAAAATATAAGGAAGAAGACTTACCACAAGCGAATATCCAATTCCTCAATCTCCAATTCTTGATCTTTAATCTCCAAGTAGTTCTTTCACAATAAACACACAAGTTAAAGAACCAAAATAATTAAAACCTACTTAAGCACCTTCCCCGGCAACGGCGCCAAAAACTTGATGCGGCATAAACATGTACCAAAAAGGTTGCAAGTGCACAACCGTGTCAAGTTATAGTATTTAAGATATCGATCCCACGAGGAAGGTGTTTTGTAGGAGAAAATATAAAATCGGTTCTTATGTTGTGTGCGTGACAAGTAGGAGTGATAAGTGAATGTGATTGTGAAGAGATTGAGAGAGTGAAAGTGGTGTGTGAATAGGTGCAAAGTGTAAGTGAGAGTGGATTTGAGTATGATCAATAAGGTGAGAAGGAAAAATGAATAAAATCAAGAAACAAATAAAAAATCAAGAATGAAGAACAAAATTCTAGAATAAAAGAAAATGCAAGAAATTAAAGATGGTGGATTCAATTATAGATATGGGTAATCTACAATTGAACCCACTTCTTAGAAAAGGGTGATTCCCTAGAGGGTTCTAGCCTAAAGGCGAATCAAACAAAATAAAAATAAACAAAAAGAAAAACTAAACCCAAGAGGGTTCTAGCCTCAAGGTGAATAGTATAAGAAATTAAAATCTAACTACAAAATAAATTGTAAAATCTAAACTACAAAATAAAATTGCAAGAATTAAATGCAAGAAAATAAATCTGCTCTATAAGCATGAAATAAATCTAAGGCAAGAGGGTTCTAGCCTCTTGGCTATTTAACAAGAAAAATAAAATCTAATTACAAGCATGAAAATAAATAAAAATAAATCTAAACTAATAAGCAATAAAAGAGAAAAAGGAAAGAAATGCAAACCTTCAAACAATTCTCCATCTTCATCTTCATCTTCATCATCCAATAAAGAGAAGAAGAGAAAAATTTAAAGTGGTGAAAAAATTATTATTATTAATTGCAACTAAAGAAGTTATAATTTTTGGAAGGCCTTCTCAATTAAGAGTAGCCCTCCTCTCCAAAAGGAGTTACAAAAATTTTCACCCCTCTAACCCCTTACTCTCTACCCCTATTTATAGTAATCTTCAATGAATATGAGCCATTGGATTTGTCTTGAGCCCCAAGCAATAATCTCCACCTTTGAATTTGCTTTTTGTTCTTCTCTAGCCCAAACATAGGAGGTCCAATTGATAAAAATCAGGCCCAATTCAGTAGCATGTCCAGCCTCATGTAAATCTCCAGCAAAGAAACAAATCCGGCCCATTTTATTTTTCCAAATCAATTCAAGTCCAGCAGCCAAGCTTCTTTTGATTTTCCAAAAAGAGATTGAACAAGCATGTCTGGCCCAATTCTCCATCTGCAGCAATTAATAGGTCCGGTCCATTTTTGATTTTTAAAATAAAAGATGATGATCCGTCCCATTGAGTTTCTCAGCTATAAGTCCGGTCAATGAAAATCCACCCATCAATCAATGTTCGGTTTTTGAGCTCATCACTTGGAGTTGATTAAAATCTCAGCCAGCAGCTTGTGCGGTCTTCATTTGAAAAAAAATAAATAAAAAGCATGTCCGGTCATGGAAGTTCTGCAGCAATCAAGGAGAATCTGGCCCATGTGCTTTTCCAATGATGAAAAGCCAAATATCCAGCCATCAAGTCCGTTGGACTTCCATGTGATTTTCTTAAATGAAAATCCACAACTCTTTGCAATTCAGTCCATGAAGTTTAATCATTGATGGGCCTGGGCCTAATTTCATTTGATTTGAAAATTTATTCTCTGCAGCCCAAGTCCAAGTTCGGTCCACTGTAGCAGCTAGTGATTTTTTTGCATAAAAGTCCAATTTATTTTTAAGCAACGCAACCAAGTCCAAATCCGATTCACTGCACACATGTGATTTTCAAAAATTAATTCTCTTATTTCTTCATTTACTCAAGGGTCTTTGTTGAGAGATGAGATTTTTGGGAGTTATTCTTTATTAACCTGCAATTAAAGATAAAAACAATTATTAGTGCTACATTTATTTATATAAAATAGATAATAAGGGTATAAAATTGTAATAAAATGTGATTATCACTAACAGTCTTGCCCGTCTGTGGATCCTACATAATATAAATATCAGAAGAAAATGAGACAAGTAGGCGATCCATACATAAGGAGCTAACAAAAATTAAATTCAAACACAACTAAGGAGCCACATAGACGGGGCCAAGAGTTAGACAACCAGATGAGTCAGTTTGTGGGGTGATAGAATCATACTTAGTGATAGACAAAGGTTGTCCAGCAACTATGTAGATAGGGGGAAGAAAAGAGGAAGTGAAGACAAAAGATAAGAGGGAGGCATGACGAGTCATATGAAAGGAACATCCAGAGTTAAAAATCCAGAGATCGTTCATACTAGAGACTGAAGGATTGGCTGAAGAACCAGCAAGACGCATACCAGAGAGTTGTGCGGTAGATGTAGAGGCTCTATACTGAAGAGCATCAATTTTATGGCGAATATCAGAGAGTTGTGCAGCAGATGGAGAGGTGGTATGCTGAAGGGCCACAAATTGACGGCTAATATTTGCAATAGCTTGAAGAGCCTCAATTTGACGGCGAATATCAGAGAGTTTTGCAACAGATGGAGAGGTGGTATGCTGAAGGACCGTAATTTAATGGCTAATATCTGCAATAGCTTAAATGGTAGGGACTGAAGTGGTAGATGACATAACATTGACCAGTAATCATGGTGTACTAGAGGATCGGGACTGAGGGGATCGTTGACTACGGTCAGTTCCTGAGAAACGTAACTCAGGATGAAGCTGGAAACATGTCTCAAAGCGGTGTCCATCCTTCTTGCAATAGGTGCAAAAGAGCTTAGACCGAGCCTGAGAAACAGGTACCAGTGAAGAGGCCATAATAGCAGCAATTCAAAGTTCAAGATAATAATCCTTGAACGAAACCCGAATGTTTAAAGGAGAACCCGAAGGTTAATGTAGAAACCTGAAGGTTAAAATGTAAAAACCAAAAGATTAAATTTGAACCTGAAAGTTATACATGACTGTCAAATCTGAGAAAAAGAAGCAACCGGCGACCAAGGTGGCCCGAAGATCGTTCGGATCTGATGCTCACGTCGGAGACCTATAACGGATTAATACCGATGTTGAGACGTTGAGACGTCGAGAAGGATTGAAACGACGATGTCGTTACTGACTGTTTAAGGCCGGAGACGGCTTGAAACGGCGATGCCGTTAATTTGAGACTGAGAGACAGTCTTAAAAATTGCTATGCCATAAATTTGAGATCAAGAGATGATCTTGAAATGATAATGCCGTTAAAATAGAACCTGAAGGTTTAAAATATAACCCCAAAGATTAAAATAGAACCCGAAGGTTAAACGAGAACGCAAAATGCGTTAAGAGGCCGTAAAGCACAAGGCCAAAAATTATCAACACCAATGTGGGACTAAAGACCCACTACTAACACTATTATCAACACTATTATCAACGAAGAGGAGAGTGAGCAGACTATACATGAGAGTACTTGAGGCAACTTTTACCAACAAGATGAAGCATCTAAAATAAGTAACATTTCCATTGGATACCTGCTAAATGAGGGATATCAAAGTCAGAAAAGTACGAAAAATCTATTAAACAGAGATGGGGGTAAAGTTTGAACTCTTTTTGAAATGCAACAGATTATAAGGGTGAAAGATCACTCGTTAACACGCGTAAATGAACATTTTACCTGTTTGCAAGTGCATGTGCTTCTACACAATCAGATGTGATTTTACTGTGGTACACTTAAAATTGTCTACTGGATAACCTAAGTAAATCTTATAATCAGCAGGGTATTATTCTCAATGTTAGTCTAGATTTCAGTCTGTTTTAGTTCCAAATCAGTCAAGCAACAACAGTATACTTTTCCGAGCTTGACATCAATCAATTCTCTTGTTTGGTATTTGAATCTGATCAGGTAGCGGAAAGGGCTCTCTACATCTGGAACAACGAGCACTTTGTGCGAATGGCATGGCGATGCATAGAGGTCATTCTTCCTTCATTAGTCCAAGCCATCGAGAAGAACATAAACTGGCACTGGAACAAGTCGGTCCAGAATCTGACAGCGAGCGTGAAGAAAATGCTCGAAGAAATGGAACCTGGGCTTTACTCAAAGTGCCTTGAGGACCTTAACATACAAGAAACCATGGCAGGGGAAGAGAAGAAGAGGAGGAAGGAGATGTGGAAGAGGCTTGAATGTGCTGCTTCAGATGAGAATTTGTTCCAGGCTACTAATTCTTCGTGTTCCACATTAAGATTTGAGTGTTTCTAATGTGTTTCTGAATTATTATGAATCCACGAGTTTGGATATTTTGATGTCATAGAAGTTATACACATAAACACAGACCCATTCACCTACGTCTCACACATACAAGATGTTGGAAATATATTGCTGTAAAGATCAATAGCAATGACAAAAGAGGGAGAGAAAGACTTATCAATTAACTGCTGTGTCGTGGTGATAACTACTAACTTGAAAAACAATTTTGTTCCAAGAGCGATGCAAATCGGCTACTCGGCCCCAAAGGTTAACAGAGTACCATTGAATCGAGTTCACTCGCAATTGAAGGACCAGAACTTGCTCAAATATTTGCTGGGAGAAATAGAAAGAATCAACAGAATAGAAGAAGATTTCTTCCAGTATATATTTGAAGACCGAGAAGGTTCACTATATATAGGAAAAGGAATTTCCGTTGGAGCAACATTTGTCAATAAAATCGACAGTAAAGAAGCACTAAATGGGTTAATGGTTGGGCAAATTAATTAGCATCATTTGTGACACAGGACAGGACACGGGAGGAGATGAATGCAAATAAGTCAAGCAATCATTCGGATGGAGACCCCTAAAGTGAGCTACGTGCATGCACTAGATGCAAATGCAAACTAACCAGCAAATAACTAAAGATGCAGTGCAACCCTAAAATGATAATGGTGAGGAATCATGCAAGGAATCACAGAAATATCAATACTCAATGTAATTATAAATTCTCTACAACTCTCAAGAGATTTCAAAATAATCAATAGGAAATTAATACCATGTTTAGAGTTCACCTGAGGGTGTAAGGGAACTCACACCCAAATCGCCAAAGATCCGAATTAGGACCGAGTTGAGAGGTCCGATGCAAACTTGGTCTACTAATCCACGGTCTACTAATCCACGAAATAGAAGAAAGTAGCCCTCAACTACTTAGATTTGACTTTATCACACACCAATAAGCAAAGAGACAATTATTCCACAAAGCAAACAACTTAGATCTGAAATAAACTTTTTTTTGTGGGGGGGACAAGTTGGGGCTAAGTGGGATAATTATTATAGTGGAACAATTTTATCCCTTTGGGATATTTTGACTGGTGTAAAGTGGGACAATTTAGGATAATGTGACAATTTAAAGTTTTGATTTGACAATTCATGTAGGATAATTGATGATGTGACACCTTATTAAAGTACAATATTTATCCATTAATTAAGCCTAAATTAATTTACCTAATTGGTTTAGTATATTATTTGGTATGTTATTATAATATAATACATTATTTTATTTTATACAAAAATATAATATATTATATTATAATTACTAATTAATTATAATTATATTTAATATTATTAATATAATATATTATAATATATTATAATAATTGATATAATATACAAATAATATATTTAATATAATATTTCAATGATATAATATTTAATCAAATATTATAATATTTTTTTTAATTCAATATAATATTATTTAAAATATTATCTTATTATTAAAATTTTAATATTTTATTTTATTTTATGATAATTACTATAATTTAAATAGAATAATTGTAATGATATGCGATCCTTATTAAAATATAATATTTATAATAATTATATAGTATACTATTAATATATTTAATATTATTATTTAAAAATATTATTAAAATAATATGCAAATTATATTAAATTTTATATATATTATCATACTTTAATAATATAGTAGATTATTATAATTTTTATTGTGATAATAAAATATTATTTAATATTATAACTAGCCTAATATTGGCAGGATATTTAAGACTATTAATTAATATAATAAAGTTATATAGAAAATAGTAATAGTATTACTATAATAAATTATATTATAATATAATTAATATATTATTATATTAAATATATAAACACTATATTATAATACAATATTTTATATCATAAAAATACTATAATAATATTTTTATTCTAACTAATAAAATACATATTAAATAATATAAAGTAATATTATAATAATATAATACTAATATTTTAAAATATAAAATATTATTAACCAATATTTAATAATGATACATAATAATGTTATATTAGATAATATTATATAATATTTTATTATCTTACATTATAATAGAATTTTATAATATAATATAAGTAAGATATATTATATATTATAATGCAATTAACATATATTAGATATTTAATAAATTAGTGCTTCTAAATTATCCCACTTTCCTCATGATTGTCTCAAAGTTAAGAATGGGGTAATTTTTGGAGGTTGGGACAAAATATTTGTATGAAAGTAGGATAATTTTAGGAAAAGTGATGGTAATTATCTCAATCTTATTGTCCTAATGAATAACACGTTAAAGTGAAATCTCAATCTCATTGTCCCAATGAGTAACACCATAAAGTAAAGTCCCAAAAATTATCCCATTTACTACAAAATACACCAACCAATAACCCCCTAGCAAGTCTAGGGTTTTGAGAGCTCTATTGAAGTTACTGTTCACGCAAATAGTTTCGGAGGCCGTGAACAGTGATCGCATGCGCTTGAACAGTGATCGACTGGGCATAAACAGTAATCAGCAGCATGAACGGTAGACCAGTGTTGAAGAGGGTCGGAGAATCGCTTGAATGATATTGGAACAGAGCGTGAACAGTGGTCGGCGGGGATAGAACAGTTTACGGGTCACTGTTCATGTGAATAGTGATGCAATATCTTGAACTGATGTAGGATTTGTTTGAGAGGAGGGTTAGATATGAGTTGAGGGTGTAATGAAGGGTTGTGATTTGATTAAAACAATTAAACAAAATGGGCTTCACGCCTGGACTTCACACCCTTTTAGCAATTCACATGCTAATTTTAAAAACTCAGAACTATTATTTCTCAATGGTCTCCCTTCTCTAGAGGCTTACATCCCTTATTTAAAGAAAACAAAAGGCAACAATCTAAGGAATAAAATAAAATCTCATAAAAAAAAGGAAACTAAAATCCTAAAAATCAAATCCAATCTCTGAGAATCTAACTCAATCTCATGACAATCCAATATGATCTCAAAGCATCAAACTCAATCTCTGGAAATCTCAAAGCATCAAACTCAATCTCTGGAATTCTGATTCATATTTAGTTCTTTCTCACATAGACTTTCCAAGGCTTCCCATCAATTTGCCAATTAGTGTTACGGCTAACCAGCACTAATAAGGAAAACAATATGTTTTATCCATGGATAAAGGAGCAGACGTCTTCATAGAAATGTTACAGGAGAAAGAAACGGGGACAAGACAAATGTGAACAAAAACATATACTCCTATCTAGTTTTGCATTGTACTCCATAATTTTTGCATTACACTCAGCATTCCCCCCACATAATGCTGGAATCACGCATGTGGACACACTCTCCGTCCCCAGCCTTCTCAAAGTCTTGAATCAGGTTTTTGTATGTGCAGATGTGCCTGGTAGACCCCTGTACGCTATCCACTCGACCATGCTTCGAACCATGATGATTCCAGAGAACATTGCAGCGATGACTTCTTCTTCGATCAGATTTTTCTCCAGATTTGGAGCAACTCTGATTTAATTGCGGGTTGGATTTCTCCTAACCGTGGCGATGTGAACACTAATAGACTTCATGGTTCGCTTTCCAGCATACATAGCGGCCTCCCTTTTGGCTTTGTTTTGCCCCTGAAATTAGTTTTGAGGCTTTCTCCCTTGACGCTCGAGCTTGTCATGATTGCCCACAAAGAAGGTTCCACTAGATTGATTAGCTCTACGAGAAAATTCAGAAACAAAATCAGATTTATCTTTAAGCTTGTTGGCTTCTCCGATCTTCATGCGGCCAAAAAGATCCTCAAGAGTCATGTCTCTCTTTTTGAGCTTTAGTTGGTTGCGATAGTTACTTCAAGAAGGTGGTAATTTTTCTATTAGTGTATTTACTTGCAAAATCTCACGCATGTCCTCAGACAGAACATCGGCTACTATGTTCTTGTAGTCATGAAACGATTGGCTTGTCATCCACCATTTGAAATTACAACCACTTTCTCATGACATACTTCTTGAGGGTAACATCACATGTTTCATTTTCTTTCTAATACATGTAGAAACGGGAACGACGACGACGAAGTTTAGGCAAATTGACGAAGGAAATATTTTGCAGGCCGTACGGTTGACCGTGATGATTTCGGCGGTCGACCGGAAACGTGCATGAGTTTTTGTCGTTTGCCACGGTCGACCGTGACTTTGTCGGCGGTCGACCGCAAGTCAGGTTTGGGCCTGGGCTTGGTTTCCTGTTCTGTTTGGATATGTGTTTTGATATATATTGAAACACAATTTTAGGGTTTTGTGTTGATAAGAATTTGTTCTGAATTGAGAGAGATAAGGGGTGATCTTGAGCTTTCTTGTGAGAGCAAATTGATGAGAGTTGAGAGCTTTGTTTGGGAGATTAATTTGAGAGTTTGTGAGTGATTTGTAATCTTTATTTTGTGTTTTCTCTCTCTAATAGTGAACCCCCCCCCCTTCTTGCCCCGTGGACGTAGGCAACTTGTCGAACCACGTAAATCTCCTGTTTTGAGTTTGTGCTGTTATTTTTGATTTGATTCTGTGTGTGCCTTCTCTCTCGGCAACTTTGTGGATTCCGCTACGCCGCCGCACTACAAGTGGTATCAGAGCATCAGACTATGCTTGGGTTTGGTGGAGGAGTAGATCGCTTTGGAAGCTCTTCTAGGGTTTCAGTTGGAGATAAAGGTGAGATCTTTTTGGTAAAAAATCTACCTTTTATCAGTTTGGATCCATTCTTCAGTTTGTTCCGCATTAGTTTGTTGGTGTTTTGAGGAAGATGGCTAGAAAAGAAGATGCATCGGGTGTTGAGAGTGGTACTTCCGGCGTGAAGACCATTCAAAGTTTGAATATCCACTCTACAAAGATAGATGTGAAGAAGTTTAATAGCACAAACAACTTTGATTTATGAAGATGTGAGGTTTTGGATGCGCTGAACGTGCAAAATTTGGAGGAAACTTTGGAATTTGATGGCAAGCCGGATGATATTGAAGAAAATGTTTGGAAGAAGATGAATCGGACGGCGTGTGGCGTGATTAGGTCTTGTTTAACACATGATTTAAAATATAATATGATCAATAAGACTTCTGTAAAAAAAATTTGGGAGATTCTTAAAGGCAATTATTTGACGAAGAGTGTTGAGAACCGCTTGCATCTGAAGAGGAGATTTTACCATTTCCAGTTGAAGAAGGAAATCTCAATTAGTGATTACATGAACAACTACACGGAGCTTCTTATGGATTTGGTGAATGTGGATGTTATGATCGAGGATGAGGACAAGACATTGTTTTTGTTGAATTCTTTACCAGATGAGGAATATGAGACATTCGTTCTTACCCTAATCAAT